GAGGTGAAAAGAATACACACAAATAGACTACTGCCCAATTAGCTTCGAAGGGTGCCTTTTAGTCTTTTTCAGAATATTGAAATAATTAGAAACGGAGTGGTGTCACACACAATGGTAAAACACAACGCTTGGTATGGCCGACTAACGTGCGAAGGTCCCAGATTGATGTCGGGGAACCTCCCATGCGAGGTATGGACTTACCAATGATCCAGGGCTGGCTGGTGGACACATGACCACAGTGTCAAGATGCTATTGAAAGAGCTATCTCTGTTTCTGTCCCTTGTGGGAGAAAATAAATTAAATAGTAAAACACTAAGCAACTACCCCAAGTTAAAAAAGAAAAAAATCAATATCTGCCAGGGTCCTTCTCAAATATTGGCTCTCTTTCTTGCCTGGTTACAAATGCCCACTGTGTTTTCCAGTCTCTAAATCTTCACCAAGAGCCACTTACAGGGGGTGCCTGTCTTTAGCTTGGATTAAAGTTTGGGAATCAACCAGAACAAACTCCAGGAGGCAGAATGGTTAGACACACTTTGTGGCTCTACTTTGGTGAACTTGGGCTTATTTTGGTTCTCCAGAGCTCCCATCAGTCAGCCCTCAGTGCCATAGAGGGCACAGCAGGAAAGGACAACCTGCTCACAGCTGACCTGGTAGCTGGTGCTGGAGTCCAAGGCAGCCACCTAATGTGATACTGATCGAGAGGCCAAAGGTTCCTACGAACTAGCAATTCCCAGGGTGATTCAGGGTCTCTGAGATCAGGGCTGGAAAATGCACATTTAAATGAGATCCCCAGGTAATCGTTACCCTTGCTTGAAACTGGGTATCATTGTCACATGCCACTCTATCTGTGAGACTAGATATTTACTTTATTACTGAACATGATCAAAATGTCTGTCATGAAACATGAAAGAAGGAAAACATTCCATAAAGAAGAGAAATAGCAGTTCCCAGATTTTTAAAAATTTGCTTGGCTTTCTCAAAGGATACATTTGGTTTTTTCAATAAAACAGTAAATTTACTTCAGGGTCTGGATTTCTTCCAGTGGCCTACACAAAGAAAATGGTCATATAAGGCAGTTTTCTGGTGGGCCATTATTTCTCAACAGTAAGAATCAATTAGAATATGCTCATTGATCTTATTAGTCTCACCTTACCAAACACCACTCTTTGCGATTATAAAATTACATAATTCTGTGTTTTATTTGGCTTTATTTTGGCAGGACAAATGTTTGGCTTTGTTTCAGAGGATCATCAACAAGAAGTTGTGTTCTAACACAACCCTGGTTTGGGGAAAATAATAAAAAGTCACAAAATATTGAATAGCTATACACTTTTAAAATGCTTGCATTCATACAGTTGAATAAAAGGAGTGAAGAACTGAGCTAAGGGTTTTAATTCTCATCATCACCTACAAAACATTCTTTATTCTTCACTGCAATTTGAAAAACTACATAAACAAGACCTTGGCAGAAATAGACAACAGCATTCTTCAAGTGCCTCCAGGAAAACATTCGCACAACCCACTAGCATTTCCCTTCAGTGAAGGGATTTTATAAGCGTCACCATCTCTGTCAGAGAAAGAACATGGAGCAGGGCAAAGCATACAATTTGGGGGAGCAGACAGAGGGAAGCTATGGTCCCTCTAATGCTTGTTAGCCAAGTGGCCTTGGGCATGTTGCAAAAGTCTCCATCTTTTTTCATAGTAATATAGTGTCCAGCAATGGCACCATTATAGGCAGTTTCACACTGTCCCTTCTCCTTCTCTGCCATTGGTGCTGAAACAAGGATAGTGGGTTATACATCAGGCACGGTGTCAGTGACAGTGCAAAGCCTACAGCGTATTCAAGGCATGGGGTATGTCTTAGCTAAATCTGAAGAACTCAAAACAAAGTGGGACCAGGAAATTCTTTGGCCCATTCTCTGAGTGGTTTAAGAACTCCTGCTTCGAGCAGCAAAGTGTCAAAACGTAAATATAGCATGAAGCCTTTTTCCTAGCTTTCTAGTATGATTTCTTATCTGCTCTTGCTAGCTAAAAATTTATCATTATTCACAAATGATCTGGAGAGTGTAGAGTTAATTTGTGTGTATTTGTGTGCATTGGCAGTGGTCACGGTGGTAAAGTGTAAGGAGTTACAGAAAGTGGGGAAAAGGAGAGGCACACAGAAGATGCTGATGGCGAGAAGTCAATACCCAATAATGAAATGAACACAAATGTGATTACAGCATGTGGCCAGAAGCCATCCGTACAATCACTTGCTTTTTATTTCATGATCTGAACAGCTGTTAACGTATATTACTCTGTCTTTCCATTACTCTGTCTGTCTCCCTTTCCCTCCTTTCTTCCCTACAGATGGAGAACAGAGACTGACCGGTACTAGAGATCTTCAAAAGTCCATGGAGAAAGGTGTATTATGAAAAAACTATGCATAGATTTAAAAATGTGTCTGTGCCAAAGTAAACTGGTACTTTAATTCCATTTTCCATGAGTGCTTGGAGGTCCCCACTCATGGTCACATAGAAAAGCAGCTGCTCGTGCAGCAATCACCTAAACCTAACAGCTTCTGGGCAAACATGAGTGAAAGATTGCTTCCACCAGGGTTTCTTTCTTTATAATATGAATGACTTTAGTAGCAACAATGTAGAAAACTTACTTTTCCTTCATTGATGAAGAAAACAAGCCCATTTGACTCCTTAGAATGAGACATTGTACCTCAATAACTGGCTAACTCCTGTGTAGTTGTATCAGAGCACCTGCTGCTGCATCCACCTGGCAGACTGGCTGCCCCTGCAGGAGGGCAAGGAGCCTGTGGAAGGCAGCCTCCCCCACCTGGGTCTGTGCCCTCACTTTGCTCCACCAATTACAATCTGTCCATGCTCCCAACCATCTTATTTTCCCACTTTCCTTTACTATCCCCACTTCTTCCCTTAAATCAGTTTGGAACTTCAATCTCAATTTAGCTATTATGCAATATGCACTTCTCCCTGCCCTGGGGGTGACCCACTGGATCAACTTTTTCTTTAGCGCCTGTAACAAGACTTACTTTAGTCAGTAAAATGGCAGAGGACACAGGCAAAGGCTAGAAATGAGAAAGAAAAAACCCAGATGCTAAAAGAGAAGAGATTAGGAGACAAGAGATAGGCAGGGCAAGATCACATGGGGCAGTCTTGGGCATTTGGGACATTATTCTGGAGAAGAGATTAGGAGACAAGAGATAGGCAGGGCAAGATCACTTGGGGCACATAGGCAGTCTTGGGCATTTGGGACATTATTCTGATGGAAAGAAGAGGAAGTCATTGAAGGGTATTACCGAAGGTGTAACACAATCATGTCTGTGCATGTGTGTGTGCATTCCTAAATTCATATATGACACTGGCTTCAAAGTGGAGAGTGGTTTGGAAAAGGAGACAAGAGATAGGCAGGGCAAGATCACTTGGGGCACATAGGCAGTCTTGGGCATTTGGGACATTATTCTGATGGAAAGAAGAGGAAGTCATTGAAGGGTATTACCGAAGGTGTAACACAATCATGTCTGTGCATGTGTGTGTGCATTCCTAAATTCATATATGACACTGGCTTCAAAGTGGAGAGTGGTTTGGAAAGGAAGCAGAATGAATGCAGGGAAATTGGGAGAAGAATATTAAAATGGAAGAAATGAAGGTGGTTTAGATTAACATAGCAGTCACTCAAATAGAGTGAAGGGCAGATTCGAGAACTGCCTCCATGGTGAGATTGATTTTATGCCTGAATAGATTTGTGTACCAAGAGAGCAGGGCTTTTTGGATTATTCTTCCGTTTCTGGTTTAGTAACCCATGGATGGCTGTATCAGTAAGGAAACCTGTTTGGGACTCATTAAGTCTGAGGTACCTTTGAGATACCCGGTTGGCAAAGAGCAAGAACTGGGTTTACAGGGCAAGAAAACATTCCCAGCCATGGGAGTGAAGGTGGTCACCCACCAAGGAAAGTGTGTGACTTGAGTAGAAATGAGGACCCATGGCTCATTTGGAAATTCCTACATTTGTAAAGATGGACTGGAGGAGGAGAGGTTGGCAAAGAGACAAAAAGGAGGTGCACATTAAAGACCCTATGATTAAGTTGGCCATTTTCTTAGTTTTTGAACTCTTATTTCTGTGTGTCTTCATTTAATTTTCCTGGTATAGCACTCTCTTGAGAACTTCTTAGAGATTTCATCTGGTATTGGTAAATTCTTTCAGGTTTTGTTTACCTGAGAATGTTCTTGTCTTTCTTCCCATATGAAGGATAATCTTGCTGGGTACAGTATTCTTGGTTGAAATTGCTTTTCCCTTAACACTTTGAATGTATTTTCCCATTCTTTCCTCACATTATTTCCAATGAGGTCTGCTGTTAGCCTGATGGGATATCCTTTGTAGGTAACTTGCCGTTTCTCTCTTGCCAGTCTTAGTATCTTGTTTTTGTCTGTGGTTTTGGTCAATCTGGCTATAATGTGTCTTGGAGAAGATCTTCTTGGGTTAATTTTATTAGGGGTCGTTTGTATTTCTTGGGACTGGATCTTTGTATTTCTTGGGAATGCCTCTTTAGGTTTGGAAAGTTTTCTTCCAGGATTTCATGGAATAGATTGTCAATGCCCTTATGGGTCTCTTCACCTTCTAGGATACCAATTATTCAGATGTTTGGATGTTTGATCGTATCTAGTATTTCTCATATATAATTCTCATTTTGGGGGGCATTTTTCTGTCTTCTTGGTGAATTTTTCTAGGCCAGTTATTCTATCTTCTACATCTGAGATTCTGTTTTCTGTATGATCTAGTCTGCTTTTAATACTTTCAAGGGAGGTTTTAACTTCCTGTACTATAGCCTTCATCTCTAACAGGTCCATTTGATTCTTATTTTTTTTTTTTTTGAGAGATGATTTTGCTATAGGGCCCATACACTCGCCAGAAAGAGAGAGGGAACCAGCAGTTAGCGTAATGGCTATGTCGCTGGATTCCCACGTAGTCGACCGTGGTTCATGCCCCCGCCC